ATGGTCCCTGTATCACCACGTGGTTGAAAATGGTAAGTCAAGAGATCTCTTTACTTTATGCATGTATGTGTACCGTAATGTTTACCCTATAACCATGGTCCCTGTATCACCACGTTGCTTAAGATGGCAAGTGAAGAGATGGTTCGATCTGTGAGTTCGCCATGCCCAGACTTGTTTCATCCCAAAAGGGTTGTTTCAAGATTCAATCTTTGAGTTGGCCATGTCCTGACTTACGTATATCAGCCCAGAGGTTGTTCCAGGGTTTGATATGTGAGTTCGCCAAGCTCGGACTTGGATCAGCCCACAGGTTGTTTCAGGGTTCTATCTGGGATTAAGCCTTGCCCTGACTTACATCAGCCCACAGGTTGTTTCAGGGTTCTATCTGGGATTAAGCCGTGCCCTGACTTACTTCAGCCCAGAAGTCGTTTCTTTATCACAGTTTGTYGAACCAGAGACTGTGATTTTCCCAAATGTTCTTTGACAATTTTGAACTGTTTGTATCTCTCATGCAGCATGCAACTTGTCCAACCTGTCGAGATGTACTGCCACACTAAACACAGAAGAGAAAAGAAAAAAAGAAGAAAAATCCAATAAAAGCAATGGGTTTGTTGACTTTGAGGACTATCAACAAATGTGTTCTCTATTACAGAGGAAAGGACGAAATACTCCTGGTTATCAAGCCTGTTTTCTTATCGCGGTTGTAAGACCGATATTGCACATTGTTCAGAACATGTTGGCAAATCAGTAGATCGTCTGAAAGAAGTGATAGTTATACATAGTTATTCCACTCAGAATAACAACCTTTGTTGAACCCCGCGCAGAACTTCGTCCTGAAGCCCTTGAATGCGAGGTTACGCTGTGGAAATATATTGTTCAAGTCAACATGGCTGCCATGTGACAAAGGTCCATTCTAATTGGTTGTTATTTCCTAAGGTCAAACAATAGGGGGATACCAAGGGTAGTAGACTGTAACTCTGTTATTTGATATTGCTGAGGTTTCTGTTTGACAAGGAAAAGGACCTGCTAAAGTAACTTGGTTCTATATCTCAGATTGGCTGATAATTTCTCAGTTCAACCAATCACGAAGGTTTCTGTTCTTCCTTAGTTACATAGTACTAGTTCACTAATTGGTTAATGCTACTTCATCAAACCAGTCACTCAAGTTTCATTGCAGCTTATATATTTTTAGTTTTCTGATTGGCTAATACTTTTTCCACCTTAGCCAATCAATGAGGTTTAGGGCAATATTACATTGAGAACACTAGAACCGTGAACAACTCGAGTTCTTTGTCACTTTAAAAAAAATGCATACCGTAGATAATCCCTTTAGCCTTCTTGGTGGTAGAGATCGAAGTGTTCTTGGTTGGAGTGTGCTCACTGTAAGTAAAAACGTAGTTCTGATCTTGATTAGCCTATCCGTTATCATACAAGGCATTCAAAGGAGTACTATTATTGATTTCTTTTGATATTAGTTTTTCAAACGCCCAAGCGCATGTTGTTAAAGGGTAAAATAACGTCGCTCGTCAAAAACAATCTAAACAAACAAAATAAAAAAGGACGAAAAAATAGTTCCTGTTAAATAGAAATTTATAGATTTATATAGCGTTTTGATAAAGTTATTTATAATTCAAAATTAATCATATATTTTCCTTGACAAAATGCTTTATAGCAATGATTATGTTCCAGTTTAAATAGTTTCTAACGTTAGTTATTCTTGATGTACCCTGGGTCTCAGAGGCTCTCGCTTTAGTGCTTATTGGTCGTAGGTTTCGTTATCGCTTCGAATCCTAGCGCCGAGAAACTGGGGCGAGAGATGCTCTGGAACCCAGCGTATTTTTGATAGAAATGCAAGAGATATTTACTGGAAATAAAGCTAGTTCGTTAAATCTGATTTCTCTTCTCTTTTACTTTTTGTTTCCCTTGCGTCTACACTAATGCGCATACATTCGAAAACGCTCTCTAGAGTTGGAGACATTTGAAAACGGAGGCCCGTATCAGTGAGAAARGGCGAAAATGAAAAGGCTTTCGGAAATGATGGCGTCACACGGGCGAGTGTCTCGCATGCGCAGATAATGATAGCGAGTCATTTCCCATCGTATCTGCGTGTTTAGTTGTTTACTGCGATTTCCAATTACAAGCGACCAACTAGACCATTACAGACGAAAAAATGAGTTTTGGTGGATATCGATCAAAAGGGTTTCTATATAGACCGTTTTCTCAAGGTTGCGCGCTCATGCGAATTTAAGGAACTTGACGGGTCACAATATCAAAACACGGGTATTGTGCATTGCTATGAAATGTTTTCGATACGAATCCATAAAATGGATGATTCTCCTCTTTAAATATAAAACTGTCTTCAATTCTTAATGTTACTGAATTTTCGGGGGGGKTTTTTTTTCAGTTTTGTGGCCGTCGAGTTGCACCAAAACATGTGGAGGTTGAGGTTAAATCTTATCAAGAAATCGAGAAAGTTCAGTTTCCTCAGCTACTTCAAGAGCGATTAAAGGTTCATTTTTAAAATAAAATCGATGAAAAATAACCTGACCGATGAAGGTAAATGTCTCTGGTCTCATCTGGACAACATATTATTTAAAGCAGAAACATTTTAAAGCCTTAAAATATCGGCTAAATAACATTTCTCCTTGTATTTTCTTTGTCCGCCATTTTGTTTTTCCCCTGCACCTCAAGCGGGATTGGACGCGCAAAGGCGCATGGGATTGATTCTTTTTTCAAAAAAAAATGATTAACGATTTGATTGGCTACTCTTTTTTCCTTAACACCTGGAAAGAAGACTATAACAATATGAAATAACGTGCAAAATATGATTTTTATATGATTTTATATTATTAATTTCATCCTTTACAGCCCAAAAAATCATTACAGTGACAAAGGGGTACACAAAGTAAAACCCGACTCAAAAATTGAGGTTATAACGATATGTTGTCGCATGATTTGTTACAATGAAATCAAATCAAATGGTTACAATTAAATATTTTGGCTAGTATGTCTTCATTGAATTTTGGCGGGTTGATGTTAGGTTCTTGCCTTGACGATGGCATCTGGATAATTCTTTTGAGGTGACTGCCTACTTTTGGAAATTGATTTAAGCTTTTCTTAAAACTTCGATTTTCCGAATTGAAATTTAATGCTGATTCAAAATCTGGAAAGAAAAATAGGGTGTCCCGAGCTCGTTTTGGAGATAATCAGCATATAATGGAAGCCTACGCACGAGCTTTTGGAGTAAAAATTGCGCCACCGGAAAAGATTGGAAAAAAATTAAGATTCATAAGATAATAGTTATTTGCAGACTATATGATTGCACGAACGAAGCCTAGTCAATCCTTCTACAATAATACATGGATATTTTCGACAGAAAGACAGAGAGATACATTGATTTGTCATATTTTGTAGTTTCGGTGCTCTTAAAAAATCTCATAAAGTCGAACAAAATCCCTACAAAAATCTATTTTTTCACGTGTTCCTGATTTAAACTTTTCCTAAAATGTTGATATAACCTAGATTTTTAGGAGTTTTTTCGAATGAGCTATCAAAAAATATAGAGTCCCGAGCAAAATTTGAGAGTTTTGCCCGGTTGAAGCTCAAAACGCGTATGGTTCTTCAATAAAATCTTGTAGATTTTTCAGCGGTTTTTGAGCGCGCGCACATCGTGGGCTCAAATCGAACGTTCAAAAGTAGGCAGCCACCTTAACAATTGTTTCACGTATATTTTCTTATTCATCTAATCATAACGAATAAACATAGGAATCGATGAAGGTAAAAATGACTGCACTAAAGCCAATCAATTAAACTTAGACACTCGTCCTTAGCATAGGGACTGGTCAGAAAGTAAAGGGGAGGAGGGGTTATGAATAGCAGGGGTTGGTTGGTTGTTTTTGTTTTTGTTTTTTGTTTTGTTTTTCTTTCTTTCTTTCTTTTGTGCCTTAAATGAACAGCCAAGTTGACCGCATTCCCTAAAAGGAGTTACGGGTCCATTGTTTTTGGTTATAATTGGAGCAGGGTCCGAGTACAAGGTAATTTTTCTTGCCAATTGAAATGGAATTCAGAACAATAAAATCCCTTTGTTCTCGGGAATTGCATTCAGTTTCTTATGTAAAACGATTGTATTGTTCCTGACATCTAACATGGCTGCTGTCACGTGATGGTGCAAAGCCTCTATTGGGCTTAAAACAAGGGAAGGGTGATTTTTTTTTTTTTTTGGTCGTTTGATAATTGAACATTTATGGCCCACTCCTTCACTTTCTGACCAGTTCCTTACCTCTTTTTGTTAAATTATATTTTACATGTTCTTTAGTTTATTATTATTGTCTCGTTGGGCGGTCTCAGTACAGCACTTTAGTCGCTGCACCACCAAAGTATTTGTCGTAGTTTAGCTTGAGCTGATTCCCATAACTAAAAGGTATCTTCAAATCCTTCCTTGTAGGATGGTATTCGTAGTTCTTTGTGGCTTGCATATCCAGAGGCTCCACTACTGTCTTCAGGTTGGGCTGAAAGAAGAAGGCAGCAGAGTAGCGGCTGACTGAATGAGTGTTCTTTACACGGTGAACAGGAGCTCGGTACAGACCTTTGGTCCAACACTCAGTCACGTCACCGATCATCACCAACAAAGTCCCTGAAACACAGGAATCCCAAACACTCATAAATCATTACAGTGATATATAATAATGTGTAAGCGTATGACGAAATGGTGCGCTAGCGCATGGCTTATGGGTCCCTTAATTAAAAGCGCAGGAATCCCAAACCGCACCCAAAGATTGTTATAATAGCGACAAAAGGTCGTATAAGTGAGCATGGGAGACCAGAGTGCATTCTCTACTTTCACATCCCAATAATGCCTTGCGTTTTTTAGGGGGTAACCAATCAAAAAACGGTCCCAAATTGAAAGGTTTCTTAATTGAATTTATACTATAACTGCTTTTATCTGTACAATATTGATTATCAGTTTATTCCAAGTTATTTTTGCGTGTACAGATCATCAAGAGTTTTGGTCTTAAACGTCTTCAAGCCTCTATCTTTTTCTGTTTTTTACTTCTTCATTTTATCTTTGGATACCAAACAAGGTATTTTCAACATTTTTTAATCAGCCTTCCGCAAAATAAGTGGTTTTTACCCTCTGGTTACCCCCCAAAAACGCAAAGGATTATGGGGATGTGAAAGTCGAGAATAAAGAATCACAGAAATCCCAAACACTCAAAAATCATAATAGTGATGACAAGAAAACATGAATGCCTGAAAACTTTGCATGAAACGCGAGAATTGGTCGAGGTTTTCAGGGGGGACAACATTTTAGCACAAACTGACATTAGAAAAGTTATACATATAATAAAAATGTATGACAATTAATAAAATAATTCAGATAGTACGCGTGCTGTGATTGGCCTAGAGCTGTGTTTGCATTTCCCTGTGCAAACACGGTTGTGACTAGTCTCCCCCACAGCCGCTTTCAGTGTCGTCACGCAACGCTTTCTCCCCTGAGTAGCGGCTGCTTACCCGAGCACAACATTCCTTTCCTATTGTTTGTGTTCAACCAATCAGATAAGTGTCATTGTGTTTCAAGACAACTTGTAAACATTCGCGAGAGAAATGATTCTAAGACGACTTTGAGTGAAAGTTGGAGAAAATCTTTGGGAAATTAAAATTGAATTCGTTCTTGTTAAATGTTTAATGCCCAAAAAAAATTATTGGAGACGGAACTAAGTGTTTTCTTTGTTCATAAAGAAAGAAAATATTTATATTTTTATAAGTTTAGCTATCGCCGATAGTGAATTCGAGTTTGTACTTGCTCATAACGAGATCGTACCAAAATATTACAAGCAAAAAGAAACTGGAAAACTTTTTTAAAAAGCGTAATTTAGACTTGTGGAAGTTAAGCGAGACGACTCAAGATTTAAGAGATTGAACTCGAATATAAAGTCTGAAAGTATTCTTAATAAACGAAGAAGATGAGCCGCGCAGATCACTTATTTTAAACAACGAATGCAGTGTAAAGCTAAAGAAAATCGTAAAAAGGCTAAATAACTTTTAAATCTGACACTGTCACACCGTTGACTACCACGGGTATTCATTGTATTAAAACTTCTGGGTAACGCTCACAGTTCTGGTAATTACTTCTCGTATACTGCGAGGATTAGCTCAATTTGATACTGTTAGAAAAGTTGTTTTGTCTTGTTTTGTTCACACTGTTAGAAAAGTCGTGAAAAGTGAACACGAATCGTTAGCTAAAGCGTTATCTTATGGCCAACCTTCTAACGTCGCGTTAGCAGTTTATATGAAATTTCAAGAACTTCGAACTCCTGTTATTCAAAAAGTCCTCGAGCTTGTCTCGAAACATTTTATTCCTTTGAGCCATTTCCCATATCCAGTAGGCAGATTTTTAAAGAAATCTTGYTTTCTTGTAAAATCTTTCGTATAGCGTCTTTCTGATGATCATTAAACTGCTTGATGCGAAATTTCTTAGCTGCTATCTCGAAGCCTTCGACGCATCTTGTTTTCCATATGGCGCGAATGGTTCCTGGATTTCGATAACTAAGCCGTGATTGGTTAATTCATAGGAAAGGAATGTTGTTCTCGGGTAAGCAGCCGCTACTCAGGGGAGAAAGCGTTGCGTGACGACACTGAAAGCGGCTGTGGGGGAGACTAGGTTGTGACGCGTGTCGTGAGAAAATTTGAGTTTTGTTTGGAAGTCGTACTTGTACACAAATAGTCATAACTCCAGTGAAATTAGTAGAATATGGCTAATTTTCCGAGCTTAAACTTTGACTTTCCTGAGGAAATCTCTGAAATAGTAGAACCACCAGAAGAGCCTTCAACAAAAAAGAAAAAATCCAGATTTGCCAGCCTGAACTCGGAGAATTTCGACGAACTCTTTCGACAACACCGACGGAAATCAAGCTTGAATTTAGCGAGTTCTAGCTCTCCAAATAGTGTTTTCTTTTCGGTCTAGAATGACTAAAGCCATTGGTTAAGCTTTGGAATTATTATTTTATCAAGATTTGCTTGTAAAAGCCTCTTTCTCAAGGGAGAAAGTCGCTAAAGTTTGGCTTCTTCTCGCTTT